CCCCCCCCCCCCCTCCCCCCGCTGCCCCGGCCGCTCTCGGAGTACATCACGGAGGAGGAGGTGGAGGGCGAGTGCCTGGACCTCTGCCTGCAGCAGCTCTACAAGTAGTGAGTGCCGGGCTGAGGGGAGCCCCCCGCCGCGCTGAGGGGAGGGGAGGCCGAGGGGGACCCCCCGTGTGGGGCTGAGGGGACCCCCCCGTGTGGGGGGAGGCGGGGGCAGGGTGTAGGGCTGAGGGGATCCCCCCTGTGTGTGGGGAGTCGCCAGTGCGGGGCTGAGGGGAACGAACCCTCGCTCCGTGTGTGGGCAGGGCGTGGGGCGGTGGAGCCCCCCCATGCTGGGGGGGCGAGGGCAGGGTGCGGGGCTGAGGGAGGCCGTCCTGCTGGGGGAGGCCAGGGCAGGGTGCTTGGGGTGGGGAAGGTCCCTCAGGTAAGGTGTTAAGGACTTTGGTGGTGCTGAGCTGCTGGGGATCAAAGCGTCCTGCTCTGTCCTGTTCCCCCTGCCCAAAACACGCCTTTGCCCTCTGCCTCCCTCCTTCCCTCTCCCCGGGACAGGGAGCGAAGAGGCGAAGGGAGTAGACAAGGGAGAGCCACGAGCATCCATCTGGAGAGCAGCTTGCTTGGGGAGGGAGAGCAGTGGGGGAAATGTCTCACGCTCTGGTGCCAAAGCAAGAGGGGGGTTTGCCTGTGGTTGATTGTACTGAGGCTTGAAATTGAAATGTTCCCTGCGTGAGCGTTCGTAAATGGGGAAACCTCTGCCAAGAAAGAAGGAAGGGGGGAGAACAAGGGGGAACGAAAGAGAGGCAGTCCACCCCTTCCCCCCTCCAAAAAAAACCCCACATCGAGAAAACCACACCATGTATTTACAGACCAGGGAGAAAAGAGGAGTAGAAAGCCTTAGGAGAAAGCTATGCATAATCATGGGGCTCTTTCTACTGTCAGCTGGGGAAAGCCAGCTATACTCTGTTCTGTACGGAGGCAGTTTCCAGATCTGTGCTTTCTAAAGGCTGCTGCATAAAGAGGAAACAGATGGGATCTATTCCCAGTGTGAAAAGTCTATGGACTGAAACCTAAAGATCGGTTACCAGTGCCTTGTATTGTGCTCAGCTTTGGCTTTGAAGGCTCGAAATAGAAATGGTTGTTAGTGGTGTTTCTTTAGGAACGTTTTTAAACTGATGCCACAGGAGGAGACAAATGAACCTGTGAAAATATGCACAGCACACCGGGGAGCTTTCTGCCATTGAGCTGGTAATTGTAATGAGAGGTGTTACTCAGTCGCAAAAATAAATAAATAAATAACCAGGTTTTACAACTGCATGGTCTGTTTCTATTCAATTCTCATCTGCCCTCTGCGTTTGTGGACAACACAATGATAGCTGCAGAGGACAAAGCTCTCCTATTCACACATGCTCACCCTGCCACCTTTGGAAAGTCTTTCTCTGGAATACAGCAGCACGTTCATAGGATGTGCTAGAGAGGAGAGAGGCAAGTCCCTTCTATGTATTTGGAACACGTTTTGGTTTTTTTTTAAATAGACTTGTGAAATCAAAAGTCAGATTAGTTTAAATAAAGTTTTAGACATAGAGAAGATTATTTTAAAGTATTATTTAAAGTATATGTATGAAATGATTTTGAACTTGAATTCCCCCTCCCCCCACCCCCTTCTCTCTCTGCATGTCCCCATACCCCAGGACAGGCAGACTTAGATTCCCCAGTTTCTGAGGCCCATATTCATGGATGATATTATTAAGCAAAAAAAAAGAAAAGACATTTTGAGGGGATTCTTTATATAGGGATAGCTCTTGCCAGGTTGTGTTTGGTTTTGTGTTTTTTTTCCCCAGCCTTTGTATAAATTTTTTGATGGTTACTGAATGAAGCATCTCCTTGGCTTTGTTTATGGTGAAATGAATGTAGTCTTCCTTCTATAGGCACCTACATTATGAAGCAAAAAGCAGTATCTGCCTCAAAATTAAGGGAGCAGGGGATCATGTTGTAAGAAAATTGTTTTCCAAAGGCTGAAATATTTTGTCAGTGTATAGAAAATGCATTCTCAAATAGTAAATTAATATCTTTTACCTGAAGATTATAGACATTGATTTATATCTGTCTAGCTCAGATAACTGCAAAATGTAAATCTTTAAAATATTTTAAAATATTATACACCAAATCTAGTAACTTTTAATACAGAGGGCTAAACTGAAATAGCTTTTTCTTGAGTGATGGTGGAATCTGAGGTAAGTGCAAGTATGCAAAACTGTTCTTCAGGTAAAGTATTGTATTTTTAGTACACTTTCCAGTCACCAGAGAAGCTTAAAACAGCCACAAGATTATAAAACAGGCAAAAGTAGAATGTCTTCCCCCTTTACAGCTAAGGGTTCAACTAGTCAGATGATTCCAGAGATAGGAAACTTCATGAATATGAGTAAAGCTACTCTTGTGCCAAAGGGTTATGATAGTGTTAAAAAAAAAAACCTCATGTGAAGGGGAATATTTTATTGGTATGTCATTAGCAAGAAAGACTATATTGTGAAGGCATATTTTCTGTAACTCTAACTATATATTAGTCAAATGACTGGTTTGCATTATATGTAGCATGAGGATAAAACGCATTACTGCGAAAAAACCAACAGCTGTTTTTCAGCTATTTTAAGCACGTTGCTTTAGTTCTTTTTGAGGGAAGTAAGACCATCTCAGAAATGAGAACATATTGCCAATCATGAAAAAATATAATAGTTTTCTGCTACTGTGTAGATCAGTATCAAAGAGTTCCTATTTAGGAGATTTTCCTTCTATTTTCCAAAAGGCTCATTTTCCCCTCTGAGATTTCCAGTTCCTGGTTTCTTTCTAGAGACAGCTTATGCTTGGAAAATTCGATTAATGTAATCTTTATATCTGTCTAAATGCCACAAAATGTGTACTGTGTGCTTTCTTAGTGATCCTCAACAGAATGAAACTGATCGATAGGAGGTACATTAGATGACGAAAATAATAAAAAAAGAGTAACTTTTGAGCAATTGCATTGGAACATTGGATGATAGCTTGAAAGTTCATTTTGTGATTATCTTCTCTAACATCTTATTCAAGAGAAAGCTATATGATTTAAATAGTTTATCTGTAGAAACAAACATACTAAGGACTTAATCTTACATCTATTAAATATGAGACCTCGTTGCTTGCTTCCACTGATTCAGGACTTGGCCTCATTTCTGACTTGTTTTTAAAGAAAGAAGTTACTGACTTGATGTAACAAAGTTATATATCATGCTCTGTTCTTTTCCTCTTCCTACTGATACTTTCCTTAAATCTAATGTATTTTAAAAGCTGGTTCGTTACAAGACATCTGAAAAACTAATCAACAAAGATGTGGTTGCTAAGAGAGGAGAGGGCCAGACTGAGTTAAATAGTGCACCAGTAGAAGTTGTGCCACTGGGAAGAACAAATTTATCTTGCTGTTACATTTTTTTCCTGTCCAAATGAAATAATTTGAAAAATTTAGGTGTATATTATATGTGTCTTGCTCCCTGCCCCCCCTTTTTTTTCCCAGGCTTTGCTGGGAATAGATATAATCAGTGTCATTTGTAGGGTCAGGTTTAATTTCAGTGATTTTGGTGGTGCAATATTTTGCTTTCAAATATTTATTTAGAAACATCTTTAGCAAGCTTAGAAAGTAGGCCTATTTCTCCAGTGCTGAGATTTGCAAACGATTGAAAGTAAAAAAAACCCAAAAAACCCAACATAAAAATTTAATGTTATGTCATCTTAAGTGCTTAACTAAAGCACTGACGACAAAATGAATATTTTGAGGACTGCAGAAATCTTGCTTTGACTTTGAATATGAAAAGAAAAACTTGTAAGCATTGCCCTTTTAGATTTCTTTGCAGAATACTATGCAACATTCACAGAATATCATAGATCCCAAGTTTAGGATTAAAAAATGCAATACTTGACGTAAGATTTTTTAAAAATTAATCCTTTCTTTATTTTAAAGAGAGAAAATATTTTTATTTAGGTTTAAGTATTCCCCACAGTCTTGCTATGAAAAATCAAGAAGGCAATGCAGACTCAACCTTTTAACACTGGAATTATGTACAATGTGGACAGTAAATAAGAGTGGAGTTCTTGCCCCTCAAGTTGCAATTTTAAGCTAAAGAGGAAGAACTTTTCACGGTAATTTTACATGAGCAAAAATCTTTTTTTATGAAGTAAGCTCTTAACTTGAAAACAATGTTCCATCTGCTGTCGCCATCGCTGATGAGTGAAGAGACTGTATCCTCTCCCTTTAAAAAGCAGACGTACATGTTTTTAACTTGCTTTCTTAACCCCTATCATATGAGAGCTAGCATTGTTGTCACTATCTGTAAATTGAAATTCATGTATTATGCTAGATTGGCTTTTTTAACATCATATTAAATAGGCTGTGATGTTTCACTCTTTTATAATTTGTCT